CAGGCAGGTGGGCGAACAACAACACGGCGAGGCACAGCACGAAGCAATAAGACGAGCGATACGGGACAGCAACAAGGCAAGCAACACAGCAAACAGCAACTCACGCCACCATCCAGAGCTGTGAAGCTCTAATAAGATGAATGGGCCTTGCTACACTGCTCTGCCCAACTGTGCACAATGAGAATGAATCGTCCGCTAAAACACGGATATAGATACAATGCGATATTTTTTTGTCTTTTGTGCATGTGGAGAGTAGTGGAGCGAGGCCCAATGTCTGTCAGCACCAGGAACCAGGGAGTCACAGGCATCCCAACACATAGCAGACTACCTAATAATGCTGTGGGCACTTGCAACAAGAGGGTGCTGACTGTTTGGCACATCCTGAGGGTGCTGCAGTTAGACACTGAAGGGACTTCTAGCAAACCAGTGCCAACTATTCGGCACATGTTAAAGGTGCTGCACGGACACTTAGGACGAAGGAAAGAGAGAACTCTATGTGAATGTTTGTGTGTGTGGTACACACAGGTGAGGAGCGGGCGGGGGGACTTCTAGCAAACCGGAGCCAACTATCTGAAGAGGAAGGAAAGAGAACTCTTATGTCAATGTTTGTGTGTGTGCTACACACAGGTGACGAGTGGGCCGGGGGGCGGAGGAGGGTTGGGGAGGTGGAGGGAGAGGGCATGGAAGAAAAAGGGGGAGCCGAAAGTTGCGGGGGTGGAAAGGGAGAGGCCAAGGCTGGGGGAAGAAGACGGTTCGACAAACTAACCGGAGCTTCGTCTGAACTTGGGCCCTCTTTCCCCTCTCTCCACTACTCTCGAAACGTGCAAAACAACAGTGAATCTTTGGCTAGAACATGGAAAGATACACCGCCATGGTTTTCGTCTTTTGTGCATGTCGAGAGTAGTGGAGCGAGGCCCTTAGCGGAACTCGTAATTCAAGATGCATGATAGTTTCTCCTAGGTTAGCAGTAACCTGCAGTACCTGTTAGACTCCAGCGACGGTGGGAGCTTTACCAGTTTGTGGTTTGAGCTTAAGCCGGCACTACGTACGATTCCCAGCCATTTTTCTCGGATGGGGCTGTCGATGTGCCCATACTTTTGGGGCACGGGCGACGGGAGCTAGCTAAATGGCAGGTGGCACCGGCCAAAAACGAAAATGCAGCAGTTCATTTGGTTCTCATTTGGTTTTGGTGAGTAGGGCGTTTCTATTGTCAGGGCGTTTCTAGTGTCAGCAAGGGAAAAGGTCATAGATAGTGGTGGTTAAACCCACCGGTACGTTTCCGAGATGCAGCAGCATGCTCCCGCATCGGGTGGGTGGGGAAGTACCGGGGCGCTGTTTCGCTGGACACCCATCCAGGGAAGAACTGGCCTCACATCCCCATTTTGCCTGTGGATGGATGTGCCGCGAAACCGTGCCCCAAAACTGGCCTCGCATGCCCGTTTTGCCTGGATGGACGTGCCGCAAAATCAAGCCAAGCCCCAAAACTGACGTCACATGCCCGTTTGTTGAGACCACGTTGGGCCTGCACGTCCTCGATGTCCATGCTGGGGCCAGGGCAAGGGCATGATAACCTGGCTGTCTCTTTTTTTTTTTTTTTTTTTTCCCCCTCCAAATTTCGACTTTGGGCATTGTGCTTTTGTAAGCCGTGAATACTGGGCCCTTCAAAGTAAAAGTTGGTTTCAAGGGAACAAAAAAGAAAAAGGATATTTTGAAGTATTTTCATCTGTCTTCTTTTTTTTTCAATCCTTTTTCCTTTTTTTTTTTAACTAGCTATATTCTTCTCTCTTTTTTTATTTTATTTTAATCAAACACAAATTTGATTAACAGGGCCTGCGTACTGGTACTTTCATCCTACAGCTATTTATATCCATCAGCCAGCTCAGTTGGTAAGGCTCGCAAGTGGCATTCAGGAGGTCGTGGGTTCAATCCCCATTGGCCTCATGTACGCTCCTGGGCATGCTTGGCGCCCACCACCTAGAGATATAGACCACTGGATGCCCCGGTCGGCATCGAGCGGAGTCTGTGATGGTCGTAGGGGGGGGGGACCACCACCTGACATGGTCCCTCATGCTACGGGCTGTCTCCTGGCCGGTATCGCCCAATGTGGCTGATACGGTAAGGTACTGTGAGGTGAAATTGAGAG